TATTTGATTCCATGGATAAAACTTCTTCTAGTATTCCACCAATTATTTTACTGCAGTTTTTGCACATGGCTTTTCCACAGTTTGCAGAGAAGGGCGAACAAGGACAGTATCTTCAGCAGGATGCTAATGAGTGTTGGGTACAAATGATGCGAGTATTACAGCAGAAATTGGAAGCTATAGAAGATGATACTGTTAAAGAGACAGATTCTTCATCTGCATCAGCAGTGACACCTTCTAAAAAGAAAAGTTTAATTGATCAGTTCTTTGGAGTCGAATTTGAGACAACCATGAAATGTACAGAATCTGAAGAAGAAGAAGTCACTAAGGAAAGGAAAGTCAGCTTCAGCTTAGCTGTTTCATCAATCAAGAAGTCAAGTATCTTTTTACAGGACTTAAGTTGCGACTTCAGGAAGAAATCACCAGTCTCCAACATTGCAAAGAAATGCTTTGTACATCAAATCGTCCAAGATCAGCCGGTTACCTGCTTACTTAACTATTCAGATGGTTCGATTTTTTTACAAAGAGAAGGAATCTGTGAATGTTAAAGTTCTTAAGGATGTGAAATTTCCTCTTATGTTGGATGTGTATGAACTATGTACACCAGAACTTCAAGAGAAAATGGTTTCTTTTCGATCAAAATTCAAGGATCTAGAGGATAAAAAAGTAAATCAGCAGCCAAAGACAGGTGACAAAAGCAGTAGTCCTCAAAAAGAAGTATGAACCCTTTTCTTTTGCTGATGACATTGGCTCCAATAATTGCGGATACTATGATTTACAAGCAGTGCTAACACATCAGGGAAGGTCTAGCTCTTCAGGCCATTATGTATCATGGGTGAAAAGGAAACAAGATGAATGGATCAAGTTCGATGACGATAAGGTCAGCATCGTGACACCAGAGGACATCCTACGACTCTCTGGTGGTGGCGACTGGCACATAGCTTATGTCCTCCTCTATGGGCCTCGCAGAGTGGAAATCATGGAAGAGGAAAATGAACAGTAATCTTCATTTTAGCTATTTATGCTTAGGTGTGAAATAAATGTTATTTGTTGATCATTTCTATAACCCAGAGCTTTGGAGGAAGATGTTTAGGTGGTTTTATGTGTTTCCCCTCATGTGGAACAAGAGAGGGCAGAAGCAGACCACTCTGTGTTACTGACCTAAGAAATTACAGAAAAGAGAACAGAAAAGAAAAATTGCCTTTGGACTGTGCTGCCCTGTGTAAAGGTGGCAGGAAGAACTTTTTAAAAAGCTTATTGCTTGGATTGATTTTTAAAAATTATGAGTTGAAATGCCTTTCAACCATTATTACCTTCTGTGATAATTTTTCTCCCTGTCTTTTTCAGCCCAAGATTCAGCAATCAGATGTTTATTGCACACCTATTACTCTATTATTTGTTGTTCTTGCATGGTTCAAACCACCAGTGATTCAGTAGCTGCCCATCCTTTGCCTTATCTAACACAAATGTTGCCAGGAAGGTGGAAAGGAAGTAAGTTTGATCTCATTGTGTAACTCAGTGCTGAGTCCCCACCCCCATGGAAACATGGGTACAATCAAGTATTTGTCCAGCCTGACTGTTGCTGGCTTTTCATGACTTTAAAATAAATTGTGATCAAATAATAGTAAAAAAAAAAAAAAAGATGCAATGCTTCTGTGTCAGGTCAACATGGCAGGCTGGCCAGCTGTTGCATCAAGCAGGTGGCTGGAGGGTATTCGAAAATGGTATTACAACGCTGCCGGGTTCAATAAACTGGGTTAATGCAAGATGACACAATATATGAGAATGACGATGTAAAAGAAGCCATAGGAAGGCTTCCTGAGAACCTTTGTAACGACAGAGTGTTTCATATTAAGAGAGCACTGGACCTCAGCATGAGGCAGCAGATCCTGCCTAAAGAGCAGTGGACAAAATATGAGGAGGATAAATTCTACCTTGAACCGTATCTGAAAGAGGTTATTCGGGAAAGAAAAGAGAGAGAAGAATGGGCAAAGAAATAATATAGTAGTCTAAATCTGTGGGTACAGCTATTCTCAAGTATTTTTATGAAGTTGGTTAAACCTGAAATGTACAATGTAGAACTATTTGGGCTGTAAATGTATTACTTTAAATAAATATCATAATTACTGTTGAAAAAAAAAGAAATTAAAACATGCTTATTCCTTGGAAGGAACATTATGACCAACCTAGATAGCATATTAAAAAGCAGAGACATTATCTTGCCAACAAAGATCTGTCTAGTCAAGGCTATGGTTTTTCCAGTAGTCATGTGTGGATGTGAGAATTGGACTATAAAGAAAGCTGAGTGCCAAAGAATTGATGCTTTTGAACTGTGGTGTTGGAGAAGACTTTTGAAAGTCCCTTGGACTGCAAGGAGATCCAACCAGTCCATCCTAGAGGAGATCAGTCCTGAGTGTTCATTGGAAGGATTGATGTTGAAATTCCAATACTTTGGCCACCTGATGCGAAAAGAACTGATGCTGGGAAAGATTGAAGGTGGGAGGAGAAGGGGACGACAGAGGATGGGATGTTTGGATGGCATCACCAACTCAATGGACATGAGTTTGGGTAGACTACGGGAGTTGGTGATGGACAGGGAGGCCTGGTGTGCTGCAGTCCATGGGGTTGGAAACAGTCAGACATGACTGAGCAACTGAACTTAACTGAACTGAATTATGACAGTTAGTTCTCCATAATCAATTTTGTGTGATGGCTATGGGAAGCTGAGTTAACTCCATTTAATAGACGACAAAGTTGAGAGAAACTAGCATTTAAAAATCAAGATGAGATCAAGCCAAACTGTGAGGAAGGTAAAGCTTGGCGGCTGCACTCTCTTTCTTGCCTTTCCAGTGCTTTTTCTGCCAACACTTGTGTCTCCATCAGGTCTACTACTACGTGCCGCGTGCTAAGTCACTTCAGTCGTGTCAGACTCTTTGTGACCCTGTGGACTGTAGCCTCCCAGGCTCCTCTGTCCATGGGATTTTCCTGGAGAGAACACTGGAATGGGTTCCATTCCCTTCTTCAAGGGATCTTTCTGACTCAGGGATCAAATCCACGTCTCTTACATCTCTTGCACTGGCAGGCAGGGGGTTCTTTACCACAACTACAGTGGCAGCTGATCCAGATTTGCTTTTGGTTCCTTCAAGTACCACGGTCTCAGAATAGAGTTACACTCAAAACTTAGCTTCCCTTTTTTTTTTTAACTGAGATACTGTCCCTTAGAAACTAGCTCATTAGATATACTGATCTCTCCTAAGGTAATGTTTCTAATACAAATTTGCAATTTTATAGGGTACTCTGGAAGTATACCTGCAACCACAGAAATGACTGACTTTTCCACTACAGCAAGCCAGAAGAGAACTTAATCTCTTGTTCTCTTGTTCTCTTTGGAATAGGTGTTCAAATAACAGCCCCACTGGCAGCTGTTATTATTATTATACAAACTGTCTTTTAGCTATGACATATTCTCTCATTTGGTTCTCATAATAGCTCAGTGAGACAAGAAAGACAGTTATTTTAAAGCTCTTTTATAGATAAGGAAACAGACTGAAAGAAGTTACATCTTAATATTAACTAGCAAATGAACAGATCCTAACCCAGGGCTCCAAATCCTTCTCTTCATTCAAATCATTTTTCAACATCAGTCCACATCCTTCATTGGCTATTGAAATTTGAAGCTTCATCATGAATGAATTTGGCTGTAGGTCTGTAGGTCACTCATTCTGGTTCAAGTTCAGGGTCTCAATCTGTTTTACTCTGGATAACCTCAAGTAGTTTATCTGTTGGTAAAATACTGCCCATAAAAGGTGTTACTACAGATTTACTCATTAACAGTTTTAGTGCAGATTAAAGAGATTAGAATTCCAAAATATCCAGAGATTTCTAATAGCCCTAGACCACAAGATCCCGTGGAGAAGGGAAAGGCTGCCCACTCCAGTATTCTGGCCTGGAGAATTCCATGGACTCTATAGTCCATGGGGTCACAAAGAGTCGGACACGACTGAGTGACTTTCACTAGACCACATGTTTTGAATCTAAGATGCTTTGAGCAAACAGTATTAAGAATTTTGGGGGACTTCTCTGCTGGTTAAGATCCTGCACTCCCAGCGCAAGAGCCTTGGGTTCTGTCCCTGGTCAGGGAAGTAGATTCCGCATGCCACAACTAAAGAATCCACACAAAGGTCGCATGAGGGCAACTGAGTCTCAGCACAGCCAAATAAATAAATATTAAAAACAACAAAAGAATCTTTACCCGGGGTTAAGAAGGTTTATATCTGCAGATGGCTGGTTAAAATTCAAAGTTCTCATCTTTTAAGTGAACAGAGCAGATGGCAGACTTGGCCCCCTACCTGGTAGACAGGTGTTCACAAAACACTTGACACTGAAAATTGATCCGTGAAAAAGCTGTTTCTCCCCACTCTGAAGAGCCGTGTGGCAACACTGGAGCCTCAGTAATTTGCTTCTCTGGAGGCTTAACTCTGTTTCCCACCTACCCACTGAACCCCTGCTGGTTTTAAACGTCATCTCTCATGTATTGTATTAAGATGCACTAATAACCAAGACATCGAAGTGACAACAAAACACACCTGACAATACAGCTGATTCACTTGCATTTTTTGGATTATTCTCTGTAGGACAGCACAGTTTCCCTCAAGTTGAAAAGAAAAAGAAAAAAAAAGAAAAGCAAATATCTACTCCCAACAGTTGCTGGAGCATAAGGAATAAAGTTCTGTACTTTTCACACTCTAGAAATAGCGTAACGTAAATGCTCTCCAAGAAATTTTTATAACAATCTCTTTGGTTAAAATTAAAAGACTTTTCAACGCCTCGGTTTTGAGTATTTTCCGTGAGGGCCCAGAGGACGTGCTGGGCCAGGCTCACCTGTACGGAGGGTCAGGACCAGGTGCGCATTTCCCAGCCCGCGCTTCACCAGCGGGGGTCTCAGATCAGCCTCCAATTGCACCCGGCGCCCAGCCCCACCCCACTTCCCGCCCTTGCATTACCGGCGCCCGCGCCAGCCGTGCCGCCGCCTCTTTCTCTTCTTCTTCCTCCTCTTCCTCCATGGCCGCCGCCGCCGCCGCCGACAGGGAATTCAAGGGGTCTCTGCGTTCGTACTGGGCGACCCGCGCTCCGGTGTTGGGATTGACCGGGGTTTGGAGACTGCTGGCCGCCAACTTCGCCGCTCGGTGCATAGCGGCCGTCACCGCGCCGCCGAGGCCTGAGCGCCCGCGCTGGCCCGGGGCGGGGAAGCCGGCGTGGCCGCAGGCGCCGGATCGCTCTTTGCTTAGGGTGGTGGTTACTAGGACCCCGGTAACTAGGGATGCTACAGGGGCCGCGAGGGGCCAAAAATCACTTAAAACCTGCGCCCGCCGCGGGGCCTCTTGGATAGTGGAAGTCAGTATTGAGTCTTTGCTGGTTTAGTGGATTGGTCGGCGGGATAGAGCACCTGGTCCCTCTTCGCATTTCACCCGCTAAACGCAGACTTCTCACATTACACTAATGAAACGACTTGTGGTGGTAGTGGTGGGGCTTTTTATTCATTGAAATAATATGTTTGGAGGAGGAGGCGGCGGCAGAGGAAAACGGGGGTGGTATTGTGTTGCGGTCTCGGGACAATGGTAACGTTTGCATCCCGCGACCTAACATGGCTCTCCAGCGAGCCAGAGAATGGGAAGCAGTGAGTTCCTTTCTACCCTGACTTGAAAGCTAGCAGAAATCGACCAATCTGGAGGAGGTGCTAGTTATCCCTCTCTTCTGACCAATAAAAGCCTAGAGTTGGGTGGAGCCTGGTCCACCCACCAATGATTGACAGTGCAGGTGTGTGACCCACACATTTGCTGCTTGGATTCCTCCGCTTTATAGTGGTGGAGATCGGAAGGCGTGAACGCCCAGCAGTAGCCACAGACAAGCCTCATCTCCAAGCGCCGTTTGGGCGCTTCAAATGACGCCTTCTCGCTACACCGCGCGCCTGTATAAGGCCTAACCTTAAAATAGCAGGCGTGTTGCAGTGTCAGCCAAACCTCTACTTCCTGAGGCTGAGGCCGCAGCCACCTCCCACTCCTGGCCCTACAACCTGCTGTCGCCACCACAAGGTTAGGGTATGCAGCGCGCAATATCAAGACCCCTTCTCTGAGGTCTGAGCCAAGTATTTCTTGTTCGCCCATCAGGAATGTAAGCACTTGCGAAACGCCCTACTCCCTCACCTTCTGCAGGCTGCTCATTGTTTTGGCTGAGGATTTGCTTCGCCCACTGGAACAGATACTGGCTGGATTCTTAGCCAAAGCTAGAGTTGGAAGCCCATGAGGTACGGACGCCGCAAGTGAACACAGAAGGACTTCCAGGCGTTTGCATGCAGCGAGTTCTGTGGCTGCACGTGACCCTCTTGTGATTTGACCCCGACCTCAAATCAGCATGCTGAAGCACCGAAAATGGAACATTAGAATAGAGTGGAAAAGAAGCAGTAAGTGTGGAGGACATATTGTATGTGTATGTAGAAAAGCAAAAAAGCTTCCACTTGTGAGCAATATTCTAAATTTGCTGTTATCTTTTAAATTGTTTTTATTGAAAAATAGTTGATTTACAATGTTGTGTTAGTTTATGTACAGCAAAGTGATTCAGCTATATATACACATAAATTTGCAGATATCTAATAATATAGCCTCAAAATATATAGAGCAGAAATGGACAGATCTACAAGAAGAAAATGACAAATCTTATGCCATCATAGGAAGAATTATTTTTTCACCTTTGTATTGAAATATATACAGTGCAATGAATAGATCTTAAATGTGTAGTTGGATGCCTTTTGACAAGTGCGTACACTCTTAAATCATATTAAGGTACAGAACATTTCAGTCATTCCAGAAAGGTCCTTTGTGCCCCTTCCCTGTATGTTCCCCATTTCACATTTCCTTGACTGTTCTAGAACTTCATATAAATGGAATCATACTGCATATAGTCCTTTTTCTCTTAACTTCTTTTGATCAACATACCGGTTCTTAGGGATTCGTCCATGCTGTATATAGGGGTGGTCTGTTCCTTTTTAATTGCTGAATAGTATTCTTTGCTAAGATGATAGTTTTCCAATACTAGAAGAATTTTCCTCTTTATTTTGTGATATTCATAATGTAACAGAGACAAGATATACTCTTACATTTAATCAGCACCATTGTGCTGTACTCAGTCACTTCAGTTGTGTCCAACTCTTTGCCACCCCATGGACTGTAGCCCACCAGGCTCTTCTGTCCATGGGATTCTCCAGGCAAGAATACTGGAGTGGGTAGCCATACCCTCCTCCAGGGGATCTTCCCCACCCAGGGATTGAACCCGTAACTCCTGCATCTCCTGCATTGGAGGTGAATTCTTTACCACTGAGCCACAAGGGAATCCCAATCTGCACCATTAAAATTGTCTGTATCACTTTCTTAAGTTTATTCACTTACCTGTTGTTTCCATTTATTTACTATTTGTTTGCTGTCAGTTTGGATCCTTGAAGATGACACCAAGAAGGAGTTAGAAGTGAAAGAGAGTTATTGGGGGAAGTTTCTGTGAAAGATAAAAGGAGAGGAATAGGAATTCTTTCAGGACAAGATATATTCTGACACCTTAGATAAGAGAGAGGGAAAGAATAATTGTGTAGGAGGAGGCTGAAACTACAGTGAAGGCCTGAAAAAGTCTCAGACTGGTTAAAAAGAACTCCAACACAAAGATTGCACATAGACCAGACATGGCCAAACCCTACCAGTCTGCAATCTCATTATTGGCTAGCACTCCCTTTGAAAAGCAAGTTCTCAGATGGTATACTTGGGAAAACCCTAAAGTGCTGTGGTTGCAGCCTGTTTGTTAGCCAGTGGTATGCTGGTAAATGGTTGATGACAGTCTCTCTGGGAGAAAGTGTATGTGTGTGATTATGCTTATATATTTCAGTGGTATAAAGAATTGTAGCATACAAGTTATAAATAATACATACTTTTTACTGTAAATCCCCCACAATTGATTCTTCCAGAATATTTTCACTGGTTTTTGCTGAACTCTTGTATCTATAGCCAACCTATGGTTGCAACTGATTGATGAATGCTTGTTGATATTTTTGTTTGTATTAATGACTAAAATGAAAGTGAAACAACGAACATGTACATTAGAATTTCACTTGTTTGCCGATGTTGTGAGCAACTTCGTTGCTAGAATACTTTTCTAACACTGGAAAAATTTTCCTTAAATTTTTGTGCTATTCACAATGTGACAGCTTTAGATACCACACACTAAGTTTTTTCTGCATTACTAACATTTTCCTTATTGCTTTAAGTTTTAAAGTCCAACTTGTAGCACAGGCTGATTTCCATGGTGTCCCCCCTACTACAAGGGTCAATTTCAAGTTACCAGTGTTACATCCCTAAACATGAACTTGGGGAAAGATGCCCAATAGGACACCATTACACAGTTTTTCCACCACACAGATAGAGTAATAGTCTCGAGAGCATAGGTATAAGAAAATGTAGTAACAGAAGAGGAAGTGAAGAGTTTTGAGAAATTATCTTTGTTTTGAATGTAATTTATTTAATTATAATTTAGCAAAACAATTTTTAAGAATGGCTATGTTTAGCAACCAGTTTGAAAATATCCTGAAGTTTTTACAATCAGCTCTCTCAAGGCAGTACTGACAGGCCCCTGTAGACTGCAGTCCTCACAGCAGAGCCTGTCTTTAAGGGAGATCTAAGCAACTAAGTTAGATGGCTGCCACATTTGCCATTGTGAATAAGACAGCTTGAATAGTCCTGGATGTGTCTTTGATACATTTATGTGTATATGGAGGGGTGTAGACGATTTGAAGAGCACAATTACAAACAGAGGACACACGTCTATGTGAAAGTGAAAGTCGCTCCACCCTGTCTGATTCTTTGCGACCCCATGGAAGGACCCCCATACAGTCCATGGGATTCTCCAGGCCAGAATACTGGAGTGGGTAATCGTTCTCTTCTCCAGGGGATCTTCCAAACCCAGGGATGGAACCCGGGTCTCCCGCACTGGGGGCAGATTCTTTACCAGCTGAGGCACCAGGGAAGCCCAAGAATACTGGAGTGGGTAGCCTATCCCTTCTCCAGTGGATCTTCCCAACCCAGGAATCGAACCAGGGTCTCCTGCATTGCAGCCGGACTCCTTACCAGCTGAGCTACCAGGGAAGCCCTGGGAATATACATAGTTAGAGTATACATATTTAGTAATATGTACATATATATTTTGGGAGTGGTGGCTACGTGGCGCGGGAGCATCTGTGAGAAGGTACCCCACGTCCAAGGGCAGAGAAACCCCAGCAACATAGCAGGCACTGGAGCAGCAGCTGCTCGGTGCTCGAGTGACTGTGAGGAGATACCCCACGTCCAAGAACAGAGGAGAAGCTCCAGCAAGGTGGTAGGAGGGGTGAAGTCGCATTTAGAATCAAACCCCATGCCTTCCAGAATCGCTCAGAGGGCTCAAACAAACCTTGTGCACACCAGGACCCAGAGACCCCACAGAGACTGAGACAGAACTGTGTCTGTGTCTCCTGTGGAGGTGCGGGTCAGCAGTGGACTGCCTCAGGGGCAGGGTGCAGTAGACCTGGGTGTGGCATAAGCCCTCTTGGAGGAGGTCGCCATTAACCCTACCACAGAGCCGCCAGAACTTACATGGGACTGGGAAACAAACTCTTGGTGGGCACAAACATAACCTTCTGTGCCCCAGGACCCAGGAGAAAGGAACAGTGACCCCACAAGAGACTGACCCAGACTTGCTCGTAAGTGTCCAAGAGTCTTCAGCAGAGGTGTGGGTCAGTGGTGGCCTGCTGCACGGCTGGGGCGCTGAGTGTGGCAGCGCATGCACGGGACCTTTGGAAGGAGGCCGCCACTATTTTCACTACCTCCACCATAGTTTGCCCAGATAAATAACAAGGAGGGAACACAGCCCACCCATAAACAGAAAATTGGATTAAACATTTACTGAACATGGTCCCGCCCATCAGAACAAGACCCAATTTCCCCCTCAGTCAGTCTCTCCCATCAGGAAGCTTCCATAAGCCTCTTACCATTCTCCATTAGAGGGCAGACCGACTGAAAACCACAATCACGGGAAACTAAAAAGCTGATCACATGGACCACAGCCTTGTCTAACTCAATGAAACTATGAGCCATGCCATGCAGGGCCACCCAAGACGGATGGGTCATGGTGGAGAGTTCTGACAAAATGTGGTCCACTGGAAAAGGAATGGCAAACCACTTCATTATTCTTGCCTTGAGAACCCCATAAACAGTATGAAAAGGCAAAAAGATAGAACACTGGAGAATAAAGCCCCCCAGAAGTAGGTGCCCAATATGCTACTGGAGATCAGTGGAGAAATAACTCCAGAAAGAATGAAGAGATGGAGCCACAGCAAAAACAACACCCTGTTGTGGATGTGACTGGTGATGGAAGTGAAGTCCGATGCTGTAAATAGCAATATTGCATAGGAACCTGGAATGTTAGGTCCATGAATCAAGGCAAATTGGAAGTGGTCAAACAGGAGATGGCAAGAGTGAGCGTCAACATTTTAAGAATCAGCGAACTAAAATGGACTGGAATGGGTGAATTTAACTCAGAAGACCATTATATCTACTAGTGTGGGCAGGAATCCCTTAGAAGAAATGGAGGAGCCATCATAGTCAACAAAAGAGTTCTAAATACAGTACTTGGATGCAATCTCAAAAATGACAGAACAATCTCTGTTAGTTTCCAAGGCAAATCACTCACTATCGTGGTAATCCAAGCCTATGCCCTGACTTGTAATGCTGAAGAAACTGAAGTTGAATGGTTCTATGAAGACCTATACGACCTTCTGGAGCTAACACCCAAAAAATATGTCCTTTTCATTAGAGGGGACTGGAATGCAAAGGTAGGGAGTCAAGAAATACCTGGAATGATGGGCAAATTTGGCCTTGGAGTACAAAATGAAGCAGGGCAAAGGCTAATAGAGTTT